GAAATTTGCCTTTAGAAAAGAAAAATGGGAAGAGCACCAGAGCATCTAATGAGATATATACATAAATAGGTCAGTATTTTTTTTGAATCACAAAGGAACTGCCTTTGCAAAGGATAAGGAAAAAAAAAAAGAAGAAAACTTGTGGTTTTCTTCTTTAGATTCATGACTAGGAAAATAAAGTGGTGTCAGACATCACAGGATATTTGGATTAATAATAACTGAGAGCTTTTCTACGAGTCAGGTAGGACTAAAGTGCCACATAATTAGTGAAACAACTGTTTTATTGCCATCAACTATTGCTTCTGGTACCAAACTGAAAATTAAAAAAGCATTAGCTAGTCATTGTTTTCATTTCACTTCAGGAAGCCTGTAAGAGATACTAGATTCCTTACTCAATGTACAAATTCTTCAGACTTACTGAGCTGGAATCAGAGTCTCAATTTTTCTAGCAATAAAAAAATTCAAGAAAGGAAATGGAAAAAATAGTAACTTCTATTCTCCCCCACTCCTTCTTTCAATTTTTTCTCTTTTAAAGTCTAMTTTTATGACTTTTCATGTTGCTACTGAAAAAGAGAGAAAGGAAAACAAACATACAGGGAATAAAGCAAAAATTATACTTTTTTCCTGCACTTGGGAACAAAAGAATGTTCTGTGGCTTTAAACAACAATTTTCATTCAGTGAGGAACTGAATTTCCTGGTTATGTTTCATGCAGGTATAATGCCTTGGAGTAAGGATTTCAATCAAACAGAAGGGGAAAAAGAGAAGCAGCTTTTTTTTGTGAGAGCTCCCACAAGAGAACCTGCAAAGAGCTGCTGACCACTAAACAGCCTCTGATGGCTCTCACTGCATTTGCCTCTGAGCTTTTAGATCTCTACAACTCTCCTGAGTGCACTCTAAATCACAACAAATAAATTTGTGCCTCCCCTTYTTCAGCAGAATGAACCCAAAGTATAGGGAAGCCATTGTAAAGCTAACATCAAATTTAACAATACTGAAATGATTTCATTTATGAAGTTTGTTGAAATAATTGTAAAATTAAAATGCCTATGGTAATGCAGGCAGCAGAAGGAAGGTCAAATGACAACTTCACCGAGCTCAATCATGGATCTTCAGTAAGTGCCTCAAAGCCCTGGGGTGCCCTGGTAAAGTTTCCTGGAGGTCTGACTTCAAGGATGTGGTTTCTAGGAAAAACATTGCTTTTTATTGCTCCTTTGGTAGTACCAGGAGCACAGAAAATAAACAGAGCTTTGGGATCTGTTTGGAAGAGGTTTAAGGCAAGGCTCTAATTATACAGRGTTTAAACAGCACTCACAAGATTTTAAAAAATATATGGCTCCTGGAAACAGGCATTTTGAACCACGTGGTCAAATCAAGCCACTGTTGACAGACACCAAGMCTCCAACAAAGGTGTTGTCCCCTTATTTGGTGCAATTTTGGCAAGCCCCAAGTGAAGGCTAATCTAGCTATTCTAATAGATCACTGTTCAATATGGTTAAAGAAGCATCAAACCCAGAAGCAAAGGCAGATGCCCGCTGTCCCATAACAACAATTTCCAKCCATCCTGCAAGGAGAGTGAGCCCGACAGTGAAGTGCTACACTCCAACCCAAATCACTGCTCCCCTCCATGGGTCTCCCTTTTCTTCTCAAGAAGGAGCTCTTGATTTCAGATGATGCAAAGRCAGAAATTTGTTTTCTTTCTGCCTCTTCCAATGCACCAATTTGTAGAGAAAGCTGTATTCAGGTGGTGGACTCAAGCCTGCCATGAGATCTCCAGCACAAACTCCAGGGAAAATCCCAAATCACGCTGCTGAAAGCAGCCAGACACCTTCTGTGAGAGGCCCAGTAGACCCTAGGGAATGACTCAATAACAGCTCACATGGCACACGTATTCATTCAACTGCTTGCTTAGCATGAGAAACAGCAAGCCCTGTGCAGAAGTACAGCATTAATCAGTGATTTCTTGAACAGGMTTGAAAAGAGCAATCTACTGAAGTAAAACAATGCAGCAGCCCAAGGGTTAATGCTGGTTAGGAAAGGATTCWGTGGAAACCCTTGAAGGAGTTAATWGCAGTGCAAACTCCAAACTGGGTGACAGCCAGCAGTGGAGCCAGTGRCCGTGTCACTGCTGCCCCACGGGTCACCAGTTGGCAAAACAACTTTATGCTTGTGAATATGGTAATATAAAACCCAGGGCAAGCCTGAGCTCTTGACTGTTCCCAGATAGTACAGTAGTGGAGACAGAAATAAAAAACAATCACTTCTTTTGAAGTGTTTTCTTGACCTGCACTAGCACCTCTCATTTWAATATTTATTTGTTGACTAAGAAGAATGCTGAAGAGAGAAATCATTCCTTGGGGGAAAAAGAATTACAAATAAAATCACTCTCTGGGTTCTGGGTGGCTGGTGCTTCACCTCTTAAAGCCAGAGGATTTCTGGGGAAGATAAGAAGGGTCATCTTACAAGGAGGGTGGAAATACTGGCATCCCCTATCTCAAGAGCTTCTGGTGTCGGTGTGGTGGGGAAAGCAGGCAGCCAGCAGCAGCTGCTGGTTCCAGCGGGGCCACCCAGAGCTGTGGGTCCCCCAAATGAAAGAGGGGGTGGTGTCACCCAGGGCTGCAGGTCCCCCAAAACGAAGGGCGGAGCTTTGCCAGCGGCAGCCGACAGGTGACGCCACTGCATTCATGATAAATAGTATTTACCAGAAAAAAAGATACATTTTGTAAAAAATCCCTTTMTTTCTAAGCCAAAAGTCCAAGTGCACCAATAATTTTTTTTTCCTAGAAAAATAACCTCAGTGTTGGAGTGAAACGTCGATCTTCCGTGCACCGCAGGAAGAAACACACTTCCCCACCTCCATCACCATGGAAGTGTGGTGAGGAAATCCTCAGACGGGTCTCACCGACTGGCGAAAGCCAAAACATCCGGGGCCAGCGAGAGAAGATTGGAGCCGCTGTGTCCACTGCCCTTCTCCTGACTTTTGGGCTGATCTTTAGTCTCTGTGTTTAGAGGAGCGTGGAGGCTTTTCATGCTCTGTCAGCACACCTAACAAGCAGGGCGTGCAAACTCATTGTTTACAGAGGCAATGCTTTGAGTTTTTTTCTTTCTGGCAGCAAAAAGGACCGTGGATCTTTTCTGGACAGGACTGCAAGGACACAGGAGGCTCAGGCTGCCAATTCAAAGCCTGGTAGGTATGGCCTCACCAACCTGCAGACAGGAGCTTGCCCTGCTCACTCCTCAAGGTGGCAAGACACACCAGCCTGGGCAGGGCCACCCACTCCTGCTGATCCATAGATGGTGTGGGGCAATGCCACCCTCAAGGCATGGCACCCACAGCCACTCGATTTGCCCCTCATTCTCCCTGCCAAGYCCAGCAGCAGGGCCAGGGCTGTGCTGGCCTCACCAATAGGGACAGACTCATGTGCTTTCCCAGCCCAGTCAGTACCAAGCACAGGCATTCGCAGTCGTGGCTCCTGTGCCAGCAATAGCAGTGACACCTCTTTCTGCTAAATAAGCTGTGCAGGTAGGCCTTTTCCACCCCAGACTCTTTACAGGCTGTGTTGCGCCCCAGTCCTCAGGCAAGAAGGGCCTAAAGGTTTTTAAAAGCACTTGGTGAGTGAGRTAAGTCCCCCCAATACACACAGCCCTGCTGCCTCTCGCTGCTGCTGAGCCACCAAAAAGCAAAGTGGATGTTACATCCCCTTGTCCACTCCAAGGAAAGCTCTGCATGTCTGTACACATSCTGGGTGGGGTGCACAGGGTGGTTTTGGGGTGCAGCTGACAGCAACTTCATCCCAAAAGCGCCCAGAGCTGGATGGCTCTGGTAGCACTGTGCTATTGATCCATGAGATGGGATCTGCCCGTTCACATGGAGGACAAACGAGAAGGACTGGTAAAATGWGTGTGGGTCATGCTGACAGCCAGTCCCACGCTCCCAGTACCTTCCCAGTTAGAACAGGGAATGAGCACAGGTCCCACCTGCAACACAGCACACACCTTAGCAGGGACCCTTTACGTGGACCTACACCAAAAATAGATAATAAAACTAAAAGTATTTAAAGAACACTTTCTGATGCCGAGGATTTAGTGGTGATCAGCAGCACTTCCACCCTGACCAAAAAGGGAAAGAGAGGCCTTGCCTCCAACCTCAGTGAGAAAGCACAAGGAGAACTGGCAGCATCCCTCCTGACCCACTTCTGCAGGTCAGCTGAGTTCTTGATGCTGCAGCGTTTACCTTTGCTGGTCTCACTCCCAAGTCTGCTGGGCTCTTCCCAATTCTGCAGAGGCTACAGCAAGAGCATGGAGCTCTGCTGTGTGCCCTGCAGTCAGGGATAACTATGCCCTGTGCCATGACACTGCTCAGGCCAGCCTGAGAAATAGCAGAACCCTCCCTTAAATCTCTGTTCTCAATCAATAAAAGCTCCAGCATTCCTTTCTTGTCTCTGACGTGAGTGAACCCCCCTGGAGTGGCACAATCCAGAGCCCAGCAGCACAGTGCTCCCAGGGTGGTTTGTTTTACAGCACAACAAGAGCAGGTTACACAGGGCAGGGCTCCCATTCCTGTGCCCACTTGGGTCCCTGCCCAGACTCACCGAAACCACCTGCATTACAGCAGTAGGACAGTGGCAAATTTAAGAATCACAGGGTGCCAAGTAGATAGGGGGATTATTTCTGCTTCATGGTTTCCCAGTGCCACGTGCACACTATTTGAAGAAATCCCTTAAAATCCCTTAAAACTGTCTGCTTCCAAATAACCTATATACATCACTGGCCCCAAACACGACACATGATGAAATGCCCTTACAAAGCAAATCCTTACATTTCAGCCCAGCTGAGCGTCCAAATGCACAGCAAAGCCAAGACAAACGCAGCACTGCTTTTGCCTGGAAACCTAYGTGGCTTGAAAATCCCCATTGTTGCTCTATCCCAGAAAATGACTCATCCTCCCCACGGGGTTTTGCCTTGCCTCCGCACATTTCGCAAGGCTCCTGGCTTTATAATAGCGTGCTGCACGGGGCGACTCCTGGCAGATTTCTCGGCTCGCTGGAGAGCGAGGAGGCAGCAGCTAATCCTCCTAACGATGATTTTCCTCTTGCAGTATTTCTTCCTGCTGGCCATAGACTTAATGCTCGCCGTGACCCTTTCCTGCCTCCTTTATGCCTTTGCCTGCATGTCCATCGCATGTCTGACCTGCTGCATTGTCATCTTCTCCTTCGGCACCGTGGGGAGGAATGTTGATGTGAAAGGGAGAGCGATTGTAATTCTTGTGTCCAACAGTTCCATTGGGAGGATGTTTGCAAGGAACCTGGATAAAGCAGGTTTTGGGGTGTCTGCTGCACAGTGGCCTGCACAAGAGGAGAGGACTGCAATAGAAGAATGTTCTTCAAACAATGAGGTAGCCCAGCTCAACATGACTGAAGATGAMTATCAGAAGACAGTGAAAACCTTCATAGAAAGCCACTTATCCCTGAAAGGTAACTTTTAGGGCAAACTTGTGGATTATGCCTACTGTAGAAATTAAAATGCACARGACTGTGAGATCACTGTAGCTCAGMAAATGAGGAAAGTGAGAATGCYTTAGAAAATGTCAATAACACTCTAACTGCATTGCGTTTTATTGTACACAACAAAAATTCTGCTTTCTCCAGGGGAAAGTGCCAGCTTTTATGGCTGTGAAAGGCCCCAGTAGACTGCAGTCCCTGGAGGAAAGCATGGCAGGCCAAGGAAGGAGAGGGAGAAGGTCCTACCAAGGCACAGAGGGCTGGACTTGTCCTGGGWAGAAAACACAGAGATGAACAAGGGGGAGCAAAGCCTAGGCAGTGACCTGATGTGAAGGAGTGTGCCTGATTTTTAACCTCCTCTGAATTAAACAAAAAAAACACCTGAGTTCTCTCTTGACTTCTTGGCTGCTGTGGGATTTGTGAGAGTCAGGTCAGAGCTTTGAGGGGCAGGTTGGGACAGTGTCTCCCAACCACACTGCCATAATTTCTGTGGGAATAGCAGACCAAAAGCAGCCTTCAGAGCTCTTCTGGGACAGCACAGAAAGTGTTCTACTGAGGGGAAGGCTGTAAGAACTGCCAGCAAGTCTCCCTGGCTCTTTCTAGGTGAAGGGTGCCRATGGGAAGACTGGTTTATGACCTGCTGAGTAACCTCTCCTGTCCAGGAGTCTGTGTCCCCACAGCCATAATATTACGTCTCTTGGGAGTGTCAGAAAATTCAGCCTCAGCCATCAGGGCTGTAACCTCATTGCCCTTGGGGCTATGGGGATACAATGGAAGAGCCAGTCCCTCTCCTCTGCTGTGAGCCTAGCTAAGGGATCAGCTGTACAGCTCTGCTTCCCCATACTGCCTCCTTCTTCTCCAGCTGCTTCGTCCCTCTCCTCCTCACTCTTCTCTCAGTGGCTTCTCCAAGGCTCCCTTTGGGTTGTCCCCTGGGCAGCCTCTTAAGAGGCCTCTCTGCTTGTTCACACCAAGCTGAGATCTTGGAGAGCCTCCACATCTCCCCAGGACGAGTAAGTCCCTTTGCACTGCTGCCCAGCACTGAAAGTTTTCTTTGTGCTCCCAGGCYCTGCAGAGGAAGGACATTTTGGAAGTCAGAGCACGCACCGCGAAGCCTCCCGTACTGCAGCCACCCTTCGGAGAGGCGGTAGGGAACCCTAGCCAACCCCGTGCTGCTGGCTGCAGCTATTCAGGACACAGGGGCGCAGGTTCTCCCACGTTGCTCTTCTCCTCAGAAGCACTCAGTGGACCAGCAGTGCCTGTGCATCTCTGTCTGGCCYAGGATACATCCCCCAATTCACTGCCTGCCTGCAGGCTCTGGAAATGGGTCCCTGCACACCRGCAGTGGGTTTCAGACTGAGTGTTTAGCTGCCTGCGAGAGCATTTAGACTCATTTCCCCTACAAAAATTACTCTGGTAAAACCTTCCTGTGTGGACAAGGCCTAAAAGCTCTCCAAGCTGAGTATCAGCATAATCCTGCCCTGGAAATGAAAAATGAACAACAGAKGCTTTCTTAACCAGTAATGATCTGTGGGAGCTGGTGATTTCTGTGGGCCTGTGCTGTTCCAATGAAATGAGAATCTGGSACAGTGATACTATCTTTTTTTGCTCTTGACTGGTTTGGTCCCTTTGTTAGTCAAAGGCTTTTGCAGGTGTCATGTTTTTTTTGACAGGGTGATCTGTTGAAGGATCCATTTTACATTTAGGTTCTCCTGCATAATAGTCACATCACAGATGTGGATGTTGAAATGTGTTTCCCAAGTGCTGACCCAATTGCATGGCAGATCAAACCAGTATGTTGGGAGGGGAAAAAAAAGAAAAATAAAAGAAAAATAAAAAGAGAAAGAAAACAAAGAAACCCAAGAAAACTGTGAGGTTAACAGTTTTGAGTGGGTGCTGGTATTTATTCTGCAAAGTTTACTGTAATATTTTTGGCATAGGTTAGGTAAACATGAACACTCACCACCAACTGACTGATAATGAAGGAATTTAAAGCAAATCAAAAGCCTACGTTGGTAGGTCCCCACATGCAGTTTGGTCAGCAGGATCTGGACAAGGGCAGGAGAATAGTTATGCTGTAGGGCAGAACTATTACACAATTTTCTCCATTTAAAAACTTGTACGCACTTTGTGTATGCAATTTTTAGTTTCTAATGAAAGGAACCTCTGCTAGTTTTTATGGGTTTTGGTTTGTTTTTAAATTACTTGTCGCCATAGGACGTTTTYGCTGCTATATCTTTGCTATTGTAAATAAAAAGAGACTTGTTCTATATCATCAAATCTTTTGAAATTCATCCTAAATGCCTTTCTAAGTAACACAGTGAAGACGGAACCCCCAGTAAAGGTTACTTCTAGAATTAAAATACTTATGACACTTAAAATTATCTGGTTTTCATTCTAGTACAGGCCCAGCAACCCAATTTTTCAGGAAGGCTCCTTTATTTTGCAGTGACTGTACAAATTAATAAGGCACTATCAGGCCTAAAAAGATTGTARCAAAGAAACAGAGAAATACAAGTCATCCCCCTTCCAAATTCTTCCTTTGCTGTGTGATAGTTTAATTTGGTTCATAAAAAGCCCTTGGTTCTTCTGGCTTTTAGCCTTTGGAACTTTTAGATCAGATGTTTAAACTTTCTGTGTGACCAAGAGGTCAAAGAGACAGAGGRAAAAAGATGAGAGGAGTTTTATTGCTCACCTCCAGTAGCTGATCTTGTAGTATCAGATATTGCAAGAGCTCTTGGCATCGTGTCCGAGTCCTCTGTGATCGAGCTGCTTGAGAAACTGCTGTGCCGTGTCGCTCTTTGGGCAGGTTGCCTGGAAATGCTGGCAATTGCTTCACGATTTTCAGGATCAACTGCAGGCAGGGTGGGGTTGGGCAAGGAGGAAAAAATGTAGAGATAGGCAAGACCCAACAGATGGCAACCTGRCCGGACTCTAAAAGAGTTCAGACAACCAGAGGGCTGGAGCCTCTGGGGTTGCAGTACCTGGAGGCTCACCTGGCCACACACACCAGCACAGCAGACACAGGGCTGAGCAAAACCAGCACTGCCTGTGCCACTCAAACAATTGTTTGGGTTGGGAGGGGCCTTAAAGGCCACCGAGGACCAGCCCCAATGCCATGGGCAGGGACACCTTGCACTAGACCTGGTTGTGCAAAGTGCCATCCAGCCTGGCCCTGAACACTTCCAGGGATAGGACATTCTCTGAAATGCCTCAGGTCCCCACAGGGGAGATGATCCTTGATGTGAGCAATGTCTCACACAGTGCAGTCTTCCTCTGTTCATTCCGAGCTCTGCTATGCTGAAGTAGCTTGCAAGAGTCCTGTTGGTTTTTCATCAGGTCAGGATTTCATTTCTTGTACCTGAATCTCAGATRAGACATGACAACTGCTGGATTCTTTGGTACTTACCAGATGCCCTCTGTACCTRTCTCTCAAATAGGAAGGACAATAACTTTTACACAAGCAGAGAAATAACTGATGCAAATTATTAGTGTTAATGCCTAAATAATATTAGGGCCCATGTCTGAAAGACTCTTTCACCACTGCTCTCAGCATGGTGTTTCAGACAGTAGGAAATGGTCTGCAGGCTCCAAAGGCAGTTTGGCCAGTGTGAGTTATTGGACTGTCATCCTTGGTCATCTGTCCTCATCTCCMTGTTCCTGCTGGCAAAGTGGCTCTCATAACCTCTCCTTAAGTTGGTGCAGGCAAGAAGATCATCTTATCATTTGATCAATTTAAATAGGTGTGTTAAGTCATGTTAATCCAGTTGATTCCTTTCTTGTGTGCACCATGGGACATGCATGCAATGTCTTCAGCAGAGCTTTGAGGGCAGTCACACCAGCCTGGGCAGGTACAGCTAATCCTGGGCGAGGAAGGGTGCCCATGGCTGCACTGGATTGCTCAAGGCAGTGCAYTGAGATGCTGCCACAGCCATGCAGAGGCGTTGAGCTTCCAGCAGCCCCTGACTCCTTGGACAGTCTCCACCTCTTCCAAAGGTCAGGCTGCTTTTGCAGTTCTGCTCTGCAGCAGGTAGCAATGGTAGTGCTCTTCTGGTACTTCCCCTTGCCTTCAGCATCCCCAGACTTCAGTTTGCCATACAGTTTAGATGGGGAAGGCACTCTTGGGACAGAGATCCAGAAAGTAGGACCCAACAGTTCCTGAACAGGAGAGAGATGCTGAAACCTCTGTCTTCTGAGGTGGGCACACTGTAGAAACTCTTTTGCTTCCTAAGAACTCCAAAGTGATTGATAAAATTATTTTATTAGAAGGTAATCCTTACTCACTTTCCATGGTGTGCTTATGTTAAAAAGAAGGCAAGGCCACAGAGTCATTCCTAAACTCTCAGCAGAGAGAGAGTTCAGTTTTCTTTTGGAGCAGCATAGGTTAGTGCATGGCATGAGCAGCCATTCCCACCAGCTGCAGAGATGCATTGAACAGATGCAATAATCATTGACTGCAATAAACTACAAGGGGGTAGGAATGAATAAAGCAAACAAAATCATATTCTCATGCAATTTTAAAGAGCACTGCATTATTTAACTTCACTCAGCTACAGCAACTGCAGGCCACCATGGATAAATCAGCCCATTTTCCAAGCTGTAAATGACCATGCTTGGACTTACGAGAGAAATGAATAATTTTTGCAGCTATGCTTTTGTGCCTTTAATGCGAGGTTATCCAGAAGTCTTTGAAAAACTGGCTTGCAACTATATTGCCTTCTTCTCTCTTGGGGATTTGTCAAAATGAGAGGAACACTTTGATACAGCAGCATCAGGGCTATGAAACAACTCAGAGAGAGGAAATAGATCTCGTTCAGAAACTATAGGCTGGGAGGAGATATGTATTTTAAGACGAAGGGGAGCTCCCCAGTCAGAGCTTCTTTTTAAAAATAAGAATCTATACAYCATCTAGAGTCAATGTGTCTTTTTCCTTTTCCAAAAGAAGCTCTGCATCTAGTACCTCTGGACATTTTATGGGAGGCCAGTTTTCACTTCCTTGGAGTGTTTTTTTAATTCTCTTGCTTTGACAGACAATTTCTCTGCCAAGAGCTGAGCACCCAGGACACGCACRTAGCGCCTCATGATTACAGAGTTACACAACCCAGAATAGCTGCAGCAACACTACTCCTCTGTCCCCAACCCTCACTCATTGCCAGTGGGCAGAGCCCATTCGGGTTCAAATCCTCCATCCCCAAGTTTTGGTTTTTTGCTTGTTGGTGACTGCTTGCAAACCAAGATCTTTAAGCAATAATTAAAAATGCATATTGATCTTCCCTATATTAAAAAGAGGATTATTTATTTGGATGCATTTAGACAATATTGCCATGCTCACCACTAATACCAGCCATGAATACAATATGGAAAGAGAAGGAGGTGAAAGAGCCATGTGCTGCCAGGGCTTTTTTTTATCTTTCTTCTAAATCTTCTGTTTGCAGACAGGAACAGAAATGGATCATTTCTCAAAAAGGAACTAAACGAAGCCTAGGGAGTTGGATACTTATGTTATACTGGCTCCTAAATTCTGCCAGAAACCATTTCTAGCATCCTAAAACAGTACCCTCTTCACACTGCCCCCGCTTAGTTCATGTGAATTTTAGTCCTGCACCATAAGTTTATCTTACAACAACTCCTAGACAAGGGTTTGATTTCCAAGCTCTGTCAATCATTAAACCACACAAGACTGAAGAGTATTTTTAGAGATTGCCAGGAAGATATCTATATTTACGATAYATTTTCATGCAACTGCAGTGTCACAATTAGAAATGCAAAGTAAAACAAAACCAAAAGTATGTGGAAAGCTATTTGTTTATCACTTATGTATGATGCTAAACTAATCTCTCATTCTGGAAGTCATTGGAAATAATCACGGGTGTAACATAACCTTTACACTAATTTAAAAACATCCCAAACAGGAGCTTGGCTTTGCACAAGTTTAGAAATGTTGTATTTCATTAAACAGAGATGAGCAGCTTCAGAAAATATTTTTGAAAAATACCAAAATTAAAGTCCAAAAAGTTCTCCCAGTCAGTCTCTCTTCAAAATAATATGGGKTTTTTTTCAGAAAGGGTGTATGCACCTGTATGTTTTTACTCTACCCTGACCCCAATCCTTCAGGAAAGTTTTGTAGAGGTCAGTTTTAACAGGGAAAGGGAATCAAGTGCAAGAAAAGATTTCTGCAGGCCTGATTTGCCAGGCTACAGTGTTTGGAGACAGAAATCTGAACAGCTCTAAGACATACACTTAGAAAGTTAATTTGAATTATGTGGTAAAACTGAATATGCATAAAAATTGAACACTTCTGTATATGATAATTAAACACTTCCTRRTACAAACAAATTATCTTTGTGATTRCAGAACCTCCRAGTGGATTATTTATTTATTTATTTATTTACTTTAAACCTCCTCTCTTCATATTTCACGTTTAATTGAACCTGTTTTCCCAACACTTATGATGCGAACTCCAAAGTAGCACAGAAGAACTGAGTGGCATTTTCAGTAGGAAAAGGGGAGAGAGAGCAAAGTCTTGCCCAGAGTTCTCCTCTGCAGGACAGAGGATTTGGCCCAGTCTATGRTCAGCTCAGCACSTGGAGCTTGGCTTTAGCACTACACYRTTCCTCTGCTTTCCTGGGGAGGTTCTGAGAGGAAATGTCTGGTAGGTACAGCCTGTGGCACTAAAGCTCCTAAATATCCCAACACAGAGCTGATTTTCACCCCTTGGTAGGCTGACTTAGTAATACTGACTTCAAAAAAATGACTTGAGTTTAGAACAGCAATCACCTGCCACAAGAGGGTTTAAAATAAATCTGCTTGTCACATCTATTGAATTATAAATGTGTGTGGTGAAAAAGTTTTAARACCTAATGCTTTATTATCATTAACCAAATAATTTATTTTGATGATGTTGTCAAAAAAGGAGCACCTTCCTTTTGTTCTTAGGTGCTTTTTCCTGGTTTCTAGAACTACATTTATTCTTATATATTCACTGCTCTGGTTTGGTTAAATAGCTTAAAATCTATGAGCTATCTGATAAGAAATTWCATTGCCAGGCAGCCTTCATTTCTAACCCCCTACTGGATGCAAGTTTTTAAACCAACAGACTGAGGCACAACAAATAGTTATTTTCAATAATGAATAGTATTCATATTTCCTCCCATRAAAACATTTATCACCAGAGAACCATTCCCAGTGGTTAATCCAGACATTTACATCCTTATGTGTCTAACTTGCTCCTGACTGCTTCTCCCATAGGATTTTTCTTATTGGTCTCAGCATTGGTTTTTAAGTTCCATTCTGCCTTGTCCTTGAGGTGGAAACACAACATGCACACCACAGAAGTCCATTTAAACCTCACAGCAGTGTCAAAATATAACAGCCCAGAAAGTTTTTGCTTTTTCTAATCCTGTTCTGGATTTGAGCTGCTCTTTCACTGTAAGAGTCCAAATACCTGTTCTCCATTACTGCCTTGTTTTCCCCACTCTCATTTTAAGTGGCCATCATTAAATTAACTGAGATGACATCAATCTAAAGCTAAAACTCCTTTCAGATTACTTACTTTCATCTCCTCCCCTTTGGCCACCTTTGTAGTTTACTATTAAATATACTAAAAATGCATTTTCTCTCTTTTCTTGYTATCCAAGACTCACACAAATCAGGAAAGCTTTCAGTCCTCAGCAGAGATTTGTATTTCCATTCTGTTTTAAATTTATGGAGAGCACATTTTCCAATGAATAAACACACTGATGGAAAATTCCTGWGCAGTTTCCATAACCATACATACARCATTGACTAATTTATCAGGTCTCAAACKGCAAAGGGAGGGACTGTGTCCTTCTTACCATCCATTCAAGAACAGCAGACTCCAGTGTTATTTATATAAGGTCCAGAAAATAAAAAATAAAGGCAGAAATAGAAGAATAAATTACAACTTAAAAAAAAAAAAAAATGGCTACAATAATACAACAGAAGCAAAGTCCCCAAATGTTATGATGCTGRAAACAGAGGTGACAGGAGGAATGCTCCCGTCATCCATTTGCTCTCTGTGTCTCTCTCTTTAGACCTCTCCAGCAGATTTTTTATTCATGCCACCAGCTCCAGGGCACAGATCATGTCTGTCTGCATCAGTCATGTGGATACTGATGCAAAACAGGTCGATGCATTGACTCTGCAACTCAGATATGGGAGCAGGTAAAAGGAGACTTTGACTCTTAGCTCTGTTTTCTGAGAAGCAGAGAGGCAAAGTGCTGAGAAGGACAATTCTTGGCCAGAAAAAAAGTCACCTGGAACTTTTCTTGGGCTCTTGGTAGGACACTAGGGAGGTATTTTCCTCAATACCTTATTCTGGGTCTCTCTAACCAAGACCAGGCAAGGCACTTCTCAAGCAGGAAGTCACTGCAGCACACACCCTTTCCCCTCTCCCTCGGATGCAATGTCTGGAGACAATCTGAAGCAGCCAACAGGTTTTCTGGAAACATGGCTCCTAGGTAGATACTGCATTTTTTGGTCAGAGCCCTTTAGCACCCTATTTTGAAGTGACACAAGCAAAAAGATACCAATTCTCTCTCAAAGGCTATTCTGTATATCACAGACAGAAAGGCCCCAGGTCTGATTAATTTGTTCTATAAGGCAAAAATTTTTGTACCTGAATATGCCCCCATGTGATATTTGGACGTAATGGCTTGACATTACAAAGGTAATAAGTGCCTTAAAGAGAACAGGTCTCATTGAATGATGGTTTCTAATAAATGTCATTTGATTTTTCCTTAAGCGTATTTCTTGGAAAGTACTTCTATTGCTTTGCTTCTAAGAAAAGCAATTTGCTAACATTTGTCTGATCATAAAATTGATTTGACCTTCTGCAAATCATCTGACTTTCCAGTGGGYTGCTGAACTTTTTGAAGTGCATTAGGTTGTTCACGGAGCACAGCTTTCTTCCGCTTATTCTGGATGGCCTCTTCATATAACTGACAGAAACACTTCCAAAGCTTCTACAAAAGTAACTTCAAGGAACTGATTAAAAAAATAAAGATTTGAAATTCCAGTGGAATATGTAATAACATATTTCAGTGGACACAGGGAGGAATAATCATCTTTTACTCAGCTCTGTTTCTAATGTTGTACATCTTGTACATATGGCCCCTTCCTCCCCAGCAGGGATCACTGCGATTGAGCTCGTTACCTTCAGGTTTTTAATTAAAATGAGTTGCAAGTGGCAAGATTTCATCTGTACCCATTATGTCTTTGTAGAAACATCGACATGTAATTCAAGAATGATCTGGATGAGTTAACTTAGCTCACACCCTGTTAATTTGGCAGGCATATATGGGAAGATGAGGAAGCCATCCATCCTGATATGGGAAGAAGGAGCACCGGACACACATGGGCTACCTGAGAGAAAAACCTCCTGTGATGGGAAGAAGAATTTCAAGGCTCCACGMAGGAACAGCTTATTGCAGTCAGGTACAACTGAGTATATTGCATTTCTCTGACAATGTCTAGATGAGGGGGGAAATGAATTTTGCAGCCAAAACAGGGTTTTTTCTTTATATTGTTTCCAAAATTTAAAAAAAAACAAAGCTTTTGTTTATAGCCACTCTTCACCAGGGTTGGTCATGGACTTCTTAAAATGTGSGTTTAAAGGTTTAATTAATATTCTAGAATACTGTTGCYCTCTCCCACTGGACATTTAAACAAGACTACCTGGGTAGGACAGAGCCAATATGTGCAGAATCAGCTCTGCAAAGCTCCCACTGTTCCAGAGATCACTTCAATTCCCTCTTCTTAAAATGGAAAATAAAACCCCATGGCTCCCATCAGCAAAATGCAATGCAGTAACTGGCAGCACTGGGCCTTTATCAGATGGCAGAAATKCTCTTCCTGGTTTGCTCTTCCCATGGGAAATACTGCTGCCTTAGCACTCAGTGGAAGAGGTGTGCTGTCAGGGCTAGTTGTCTGTAGGAAGGAAGATTTCCTGATTAGAGATAACCCTCTAATTAAAGCATGGATTTATTTATTTACATTTCACATTGATTTGTAGTTACTTACTCAATTATAAATGAAAAGAGTAATATTTAGTTTTAGGTCTGTGTGAAATCTCCTCTGTGAGACTGTCACCATTTGAAGGTGTTCTTTGCACTTGTAAGAGTCTCCACAACAGAGGCAATCTCTGGTTCCAGGGAAGGGATGATTAGCTGTGGTGTCCCAGTGCACTTAGTAAAAGAGAGATGTCCAAAAAAATTGTAAGAGCAGGCAGCTAAGCACTTTTTCATGAAATAGCAGAAAAAAGTAGGCATCTTCTCCTTTCACAAATGGTAAATATTAGATGTGGAATATATCCCAGAAAGATGGGGTAAACAACGAAGAAATCYCTCTCCCAGATGTCTGATTCTCCCACTCTGTCCTTACTCACCACAAGCCCCTGCTCTGGATCCCAGATTGCCAGCATTGGGAGGTGCAGCACCAATGGTCACCCTGCTAAACCTCCTGCTGCTGGCTTCCATGACTCAGGTCACCTTTGAGGKCACATCTGCACAGTGTGGAGGGTGCTCAGCTGTGAGCAACCCCATTCCACAGCCCTGGGGCAAAGGGCAGTGGTAGGAGTGGGACAGGGAACAGCACCTCCAGGCTGTTCCCTCTGGGAATCCACAGCCCATAAAGGCTGTGCTGAAGTTACCCTTTTGTTTTTTTTTTTTTTTTTGGACACATTAATGTTGTCTTTTGCTATTGAGTTCATGGTCATGAACGTTGCTTTTCTATTTGCAGTTCTCTATGTCACAGTCCTCTTTYACCCACTGAACTGTGTCCTGAGTCTCCTGAAGAGAAGCTCACAGCTGCTTGTGCCTCTGCTGAAGTCCAAAAACTGACAGGTGAGGCAGAGCCCTCACAGCTCAGTTACTCAGGGGTRACCAGCACCTCCTGCACCAGCAGCTCTTATCGCTGCTGGGACAGGGAAGGGAAACCAGGGTGGTGGGGAGAGGGCTGGGGAGGGCTGGGAGAGCAGCCTGGGAGCAGCATCCTGCAGCACTCTGACACCCCAGGGACGCTGCCTTTCTGCATCAAAGTGTCCCCAAGGAGACCAGCCTGGAGCACAGCCATACATTCGAATCAGTAGCAAAGCCASCTCAGTCTCCAACATCAAGGCAGAGCACTAGCTGCTCTCCAGCATCTCACTGGATTTTAAGATGCACCATAGCTGCTTCTAAATGGCAAACCCCAAAATATCCTGTCTCTTGTTCATTGCTGAATCATCTCCCAGGTTCCTGTATTCTCACTGCTGCAGGCTCTGAAGGCTCTGAAATTCCATTTACTCCAGCACATGGCCACGAGAGCAACTGGAGTGCTGTTTCCAGCATCCCTGCTTGAGAGAAAGCACCCAAAGCATCATTTGATTCTCTGGTCCAGGCTTTAGGACAAGAGAGAAAACAGAAAAAATATTTTAAAAAGAAAATGRAAAAACAGACAGCTCATGAGATGACCTGACAGTGTCCCCACTGGTCAGGCTAATATTTTCTTGATCAAGAGGAAAGGGTCCCTGGCTCTCCATCTAACATCACTTCAGGTGTCTGGCTCTCAATAGCATATTTAACCTTTCTGAGTGTTGGATCAGGGCCATAAACAGGCTCTGGATGCTCCATGGAACACAGAAGTGGATATAGCCTGTCAGCCCTGTCCTGTGTCACCAGTGGCTGCTGCAGCAGCTGGGATGAGGCAGGACATGCAGSCAAACAGCAGCAGCAATGAACTCAGCTGAAATGAGTGAACAGCACTGAAGAGGTAAAAACCCTCCTGCTGTCTTTCATCCAGGAAGGAAACCCATGGAGCACTGCACATTAACACTGTSACACCACAGTGAAGAAAAGGAGCATTGCTGGGATCAGAAGTGACAAATTCCTGGTAGCAGGGGATTATGAGCAGTGACTTCAATTGTAAGACAACGAAAAACTGTGGATGAAAACAGAAAACACCTTCAGAGCCATGACACAGTCTCCAACTTCCTTGCAAGTCTAATCTGTAAGGAAGAGAACACCGAGACACTGAAACTTTGGGTTGTTCATTACAATGCTGTACTGTACACACTGGGATATGCACAGAGGAAAAAACATCTGAGGTGAAAGGAAATAAAGGAAGAACTCTGCTGGGAAGCGAAATGCTAGGGCTTGGTTTTCATTATCTAAAGCCACAACTCAGAACTGCCTGACTGATGATAAGAGATGTCACCCAGGGARCTGGATCTAGGGAGGGAAAGGAAAGCTTTCAAAACAGCTTCTGTAAGACATTAAACCAGCTTAATATCAAACCAGACTGAAAATAAACATTTTAATTCTGTAACATCAAAGCACTGAGAGAGAACATGCTRAAGCAGAAAATTCCTGAATTAAAAGCTTGAGGTTTTAGTCTTTACACATTTGTCAAATAACCAGTTATATGAATAATGCCAAACCCATATATGCTGCARAATGTCCTAGGAAATGTTTCCTTTAGTCAGAACCCGTTTTGAGCCAGCCTTGCCAACTTCCTCAGTGCGAAATCCCCTTCTGTGTACATAACCCTGTGCAATTTCAGCTGATAGCCATTATTTTCTCCTCCAAAATGTGGCAGGGGACATGTGTGGGCTGCTGCATGGCTATTGCTTCTCTCCCAAAGTGACCTTCAAGCAAAGGATGCTGCCTGCTTGTATACACTGTAGTATTCATGGCCTGAAATTAAAGACATTRTGTGAGCAGAGCTCCTGAAGACCTCAGTGGAAGTCTTGCTGGCCTGGGGACTCGGGAATGGCCTACATTTGTTTATAAAGCTTTCCAGTCCATTGGGATACAGGGAACTACTCTGTGCAAGCATAAAATTATGACTTTGAGGCAGTATCACCATGAGATAAATTATAATATAACTGCACTTAAAAGTATRTTTAACACAAATTAGTTGTATCAAACTAACACTGAAGTTATAGACTGCTGAAGCTGAGTAAGGGATCTGAATGCCCACATGCTTTTAATTTGAGTGGGAATGAGGGATTTGAATTCCTTAAATAGTCTTGARTGTTTCATCACTAACATATAATACAAAAAAATTAAAGCAACTGGCTTTTTGAGCCTAMAAACCTGGCCAAGAGATTCTGCCAGCATCTTTTTGGACACATCCCTCCAAAAATACTGCCATTAAAATGAGAGACCCAGAAATTCCTGAAAGTATTCCAAGTCTTGTTGAAAGTTTTTAGAAAAAACCCCAGCAATTCCAACATATTTTTCAATAGATCACTTTGATCCATTTAATAAAAATGTAATTGGGCTATAAAAGTCTGCTTGAAGAAAAATAGCTTTGGCACAAAATCCTGCATCCTGCAACTAGAAGCAAAACCAAAAATCCTGCATCCTGCAACTAGGAGCAAAAACTGATCATCCAAGACCTGTTTTTTCACCTCATTCTCAACTGCAACACTTCCATTTCCTTACTTTTTTAAAAAAGCATAGAATTGGACTTCAAATAGAAGATTTTCATGGGCAACACTGTAAAATTATTTCCCAGCGGAACCAAAATGGTGGTGGCTCAGGAGAAGCAGAGGGAAGCTGGTTACATGAACACATCCTTTTACCATTTTAAATTATGTTAATAACTAATCTTATCCTTTATGAATGTCTGTATGCCTGTCAAAATTGTAAGAGAGCATCCCCTCCAGTTAAATACTCTCCAGCATTGTCACTCTTAGTAGCAGCCTCCCTCTATTTTTGGGGGTGCTTTTCTCCTGCCTTTCCTCTCGTGAGCAGGGATCAGCCACAGAAACAGCTCCACTGAGCCAGAYGAGGTACTGCCCACCTCCACAGTGGCTATTGGGAAGTGTTTCAGACAGCCTGAGGTGTGACATTTTCCTTCATGTATTTATTGTATTCAGGGAAAAACATTCGGGAGGGACAGGGAAGGAGGAGAAGGCAGGGAAGCAAAATTATGATTCATGTAATGGGATTTTCTATTCTTGTGAATAGTTTAATCAAAATAAACATATACAGAACCCTCTTACATGCTTGCCATGCATAAGTCTCCCTATATTGAGCTCAACACTCTTAAGCCCAGGTCAGTGTCACCTGCACCTCTACCACTCACATTTGTAACAACAAAAAAAGGGCAAGACTGGGATTGCCTGGGTTTAAAACCCAGCTGTGCTCAAGTGACCATGCCATGGTGTGTCCTGGCTGTACTGGATGCTCCAGACACACTACATGGGGGTCACARGTCTCAGGACAGGTGGGATTTGCTGATGGAGCCACATGTGATCCTCGCCAGCACTGGAGACAGCCCAGCCCTTCCAAAGCTTTGCAGATCACACACAGTTGGATCCCGTGCTTGTCACACAACCTTTCCTTGGAGGAATAACTTAGCAGCAGCCCCTGGTTTGAGATTTCAATGAGATGCTGGAGAGATGCAAAAGATAGGAAAGCACAMAGACACAGAAGGGTGAGGTAGAACTGGTCCCAGGGTGGGACAGCACCAGTCCCATGGAGGTCACTGCRGTGAGGTTGGTGGTGACACACTGGCTTTGCTGAGTTTTGCCCTAGAACAATTTTATTTGCTATTTCGTGTCATGTCACTTGTGGGATATTACTGGTGTCATAGCACAGAACACAGCATGTGTTCTAAGGAGCCACAGGATTCCTTACAATCCTTTACCTAGATTTTAGGCAGAGAGAAAGTATGCCTTAACTTTCATCTCTCCAAATAGATAGTGCTAAAATCTATATATAAACATCCTATTGGTGTATCAGTATAAAGCTCATTTAAAAGGCTTATAACTGACTTTGAAATAAGCTGAGACAATCTCCAAATAGACAAGTGCAAGGCAGGGGGGAAATAATCTCTACTAAAGGCAGATTTCTCTGCAAAACAGCTTTCCCTGCTGCCAAGCTCAAAGGGAGGGGGCACTTCCCCCACCCAAAAGCCTGTCCCCACAACCTCATGAGAGAAAGTTGTGCCATTTATAGCTGCTCATCTGTGAGCAGACACATCACTGTAACAGTGACTGCCACAGGCAGGAGGAGCCTGGATTCCACATCCCAGAGCACAGAAACTCTGAAACGTGAAGCCACAAGATTAGTTTGCTATAATGTGTCTAATTTATGTTGGCATTCCCTCGGGATGAAAAAAAAAATAGCAAAAAATAACTATGGGCAATGCTGTTGTAGCARCTCTGAGAAGCATGAAAAACCACAACTTCAAGAAGCARTGTCTTATGGGTAGGTGAGTTATTCTGACCTTTTAAATATTTTTTCTAAAATAAGAAACAACTCACAAGTTTTCATTGTGCCACTTGGATGCACTTTGCACTGCACTGTGTCACAGGTCAAGTCATGCCCAAGGCAAAGYTTGAAATGCCATTCCCCACTGGAGCTCCAAACTGTCACTACACAAGCACATTCAAACAGATGCAAATACTGATAACTMAGCCATACAGGAAGAGCTCCATGCTTCCAAGTACAAGTTGAATAACAATCCTATCCTGCCAAGGGCCAGCCAAACAAACCTCAAGCCAACCAAAACCTTAAATACCCACTACTCTGGCTGAATCCATGTTTCAGAAGAGGTCTCCCACTCCTCTGTCTCTTTTCCAATGGATGTGAGGACCTTTCCCCCTATATAAACAGGGCAAYGAAACTGATAGGAGMATTATAGAGTGTGRCCTGGGGAAAAGAGAAAACCAAGGGGTCTGGAGTCCTGATCCAGTGTTCCCAGAGCCATTTATATGCTAGACAGGCTTTGGATAATGCTGCTGACCCATCATCTCACAGAATTCAAACTTGAACTTTTCTGTTAAAGCTTACGTGCAAACTGAACATTTTCAAGAATTTAGACTTGAGGTCAAGCTCATCAGATGCTGGTTGTTCCCCCAGTTATACAGTTCTCCTAATGAGGAGAATTCAGTGAAACTGCTTTCTTGGGCGTTTGTTCATAAAGCAAGTTCAAAGGCCAAGCAAAGAGTRCAGCCATGGCAGAGGGGTTGGAATGAGATGAGCTTTAAGCTGCSTCCTAACCCAAACCATTCTCTGATTCTGTGAAGTAAAACATCATGTACCAATTTTCTGTTTGCCCATTTACTGGAGCTGTTTTGTGCAGACAGCTCTAAGGAAGAAATCATCTTTGAGTAAAACAGCAAGAAGTGGGGGGAGCTTGAGGTTCCTATGTGTAGATGAAAGGAGAAAGAGCCAGTGCTAGCAACATTAATAGTATTTGGTGGACCCCTAAATGCTGAAAATACCTGTACAGCCACCTTGTCTGCTGGCTTCTTCTGCTGCTTGGAGAGCTGTAAGAAACCTGTTCCACATTCCTGCTCTCGATCAGGCCCCCAAACCATSACTGTGGGGCTGAGGCAAAGCAGAACAAAATCAACAACTTGTACTTAACACACTAAGTATCAAGTGAGTTTCAAATTGGTATTGTGGTTTACTAGTTGTTGCATGCACCCTCCTACCCTGTTCCTCTCTGTGCTTACACATTTAATACTTGCAAGTCACAAAATGCAAAATCTCTGGATAACTAGAGCCATRTTGCTAAGAAGGCAAGAATCCCTTTCCATCAATATGAGATTACTGGCTCTGACTTAGTTAAATCAACCTGGTAGATTAGTGTAAATTAGCCCTAGTAGAACCAGAGTTCATTTAGTCCTTTGGTCTGTGTAGGGTGGGACTTGCACAGACCATTGCTGACAGAGTCCAGCTTATTTTGAAAGAGTCAGTGACCTCTCCCAGGGAATCTGCTCCAATCCTTCTCCCTCAACATCATATTAATTGCTAAAACTAAAGTATCCTGATTTTCCCTTGAAGCAATTTAGCCCAAAGCTTCTTGTCTTAACTGCCAGGGTCAGGAAGATCAATTTATTGCCTTTTTCYTTCGCAGCAGCTCACTGTTTTGGGGAGAAATACAGTCTTCTCCGCAGTCTGCCTCTTCTGAGGATGAAAACTCCTCAATCTTCCCTATCAATTTGAGCCTTTTGGTCCTTGGATCAGTCTTCCTGCCTTCCTTTTCACCCCTAACCACAGTCCAGCTCAGCCTTGACATACACTGGCCAATAAGCAAATGCTCCTGCTTGCTGGATTATTGCACTTGGCACAGTGCAATAAACAGTCCTGCTCATACACTTAATGTGTCTTTTCTGTAACAGCACCGTATTGTTTATTCATGATCAGCTYGTGAGCCATCAAAATCTTTCATCCTTTTTGATAAGTCAACTCCACCTGTAGCTGTTGGTCCCCAACCTGTACAACTATAGAATAACCTATATAAACAGTTTATTGCAATACGTAAATCTGTATCAGCAGAGKGACAATGCACTGTCCCAACTGAATAGCAAGATGCTTTTGGTGGGGTTTTTACCACCTCTCCACTTGCAAGGATCGTATTGAATTCTAATCCTGCCC